GGCTTAGGTCAGTACCTGGTCCGGGGCCAAGGCGCCAAAAACTTTTCCAGTGTCCTGCAGTTCTCCTGAAAGATGATAAATTATCCCTCCTGTTCCAGAAGGCTGGCATGGCAAAGTGCTGGATGTGCCTGCAGGAGTAAAGTGGGAGTGGAAAAAAACAGGGAAGAGGCAGTTATGTGGGCAAAAGTGTTTGGTGTGGTGCTGAGGATCAGATGTGGCAGGGGATAAGTGGTTTATAAATATATGAAAGCATTAACTGTTAATTGCAGACAGAATCGCCAGGACTGCGTGCTTGGATTTTTTACAAGGGTTAAGAATAACATGAGACAGAGAGGAGCAGCTAGTTATATAAACGAAGTAAAAAAGAGTGTTTTTTTGATGTGTTTGTCACCTGGGTGGGAAGAGGTGACTTCCCCAACACTTATTTCCCAGTTTCTTGCTAAAAATTTCTACAGAACCTGTAAAAAAGGAGGTCCTGTGCACTGAAGCTGGGTGTCTCTGTTTGAAGAGGGTTTTGTTCCACAGTTGTGTCATTTTTGTAGATATGGGTGTGTCATTTCTGTCATAATTGTGGGTAGCACACTCAGACACATTTTTGACAGGTTTATGTGGGAGTTGGCACACAGCAGTGCATGTGTGGAAAAGGCACAGCGCTGGCAGAGTAGTTTGGGAATAACAGCCTTAAAAAGAGAGAGAGTGCTGGTTCCACTGTGGTGTTTTGAGGAGTGATTGGCACAGAAGGAAGAAGGGGAATGCTGCCACACAGTTCCTGCTCACCAGCTCTGTGGGGTGCAGACAAGATCTGAGGCTTTCGTGCAGCACGGATCCTTTGTGCTGAGCAGAGCCCTTCCACACTGCACTGCACCAGGGTGTTCATCTGCTCAGCAAAGGGATTTATTTCTCTTCTTCCTTCTTTCCAGAAAGGAAACATTACATCCGAGCCAAGCCTCACCTGTAAATTCAGCAAGTGGCTTTATTTCCTTTTATTTCCTTTCATTTCTCTGTGTTGGGAGGGTGGTTAAAGGCTCTCTGTGTCTTTAAAAGGCCTAAGGTTTTTTAAAGATTCAAATTAATCAGCTTCAGCAAGGCTGTTTTAAAGCTGCAGCCTTGGATTCCAATTATGATTGCTTACAGTTTTTACTAATTTAAACAGATTTCTGGAAAAGTGCTGCTTCATAAGGAGAAGTTGCCCCAAATTATGTCCATCCTTGCAGATACTCAAAACTTGACTGGACGTGGCCCTGAGCAACCTAAACCTGCTGTGAGCAGGAGCTTGGGCTGGATGATCCCTGGATTTCTTTTCCAACCAACATGATTCTGTGAATCAAAACTTAACACCTGAATAATCTCTTACCTGCCTTTGAGGTGCCAGGAGTCACTGGAGATGCTTGAAGGACTTCATTCCTTTGATTTCTCTCTAAGGATCTCCAAGCAAGTTGGTAAGGAATGAAGCTTCTCTCCCCTTCTCCCATCAGTAAAGGACAATTAGAGTCAAGAAAAGACTTAATTATGATCCCAGTGATGAGATGGGATTAATCTGGTGCTGAAATAAATTTAGGATGCTCGTTTTGTGTCATGGTAGACATTAACCTGCAGTGAATCTGTAGGGCCACCCTGCTGTGTCAACCCTGCATTTCCCCCTTTCTGTGGTCCTGGGCCTGCAACTGGAAAGGGAAATTTTCTTGTTAAGCCTCATTGTCCAAGAAAAATCCTCCAGCTCGTTGTGGAGGTGCAGCCTGTCACAGACATGCATGATGCAATCAAAATGCAAGTGTGAGCAACACTATCAAACCCGGTGTTTAAGAGGCAATTACCCAAATGCTGGTGAATCACAGTCATTAGGGGTTTGTGGGGCTCACCTGGAATCACTGCATAGCCCAGTTAATGTGGAATCCCTGGATATTCTGAGGCAAACAGCTTGGCAGAGGGAGGAGAGGGAGGGTGAGCCTAAACAATCCTTGTTTTCCCAGCTCTTTGGAGGAAAACAAGGAGTCAGGGTACTGGGGGGGGTGTGTGGGTGAGCAGGAGTGTAACCTGTCACAGAAACAGGTGAGAGGGTGAACGGGGCTGGGTTTGGGAAATGCACAAAACACCTTTTTGTGTAGAGCAGGGTGGTGGGAGAGCCAGAGGATCCAGACACAATTCCAGGAAGCCAGAGGAAGGAGGGGCTGTTACCAGCAGGGATTGTTTCATTTAGCAATTAGTTGTTAAATCTCCTCTAAGGCAAATAAAGCAGAGGATGTGAGCTCCTGGAACTGCTCCCTCCTCCCCTTCCCCACGTACCCACACCCTTTTCTGCAGATCCTCTGGGATGGGAGGTGTGGGGAGGGGGGCTTGCTGGTGATGTAGGGCAGGTGCTTTGGGGGGATTCAAGAGTGTGGGGTCTTTTTTATGCTCTGTCTCTGATGTTCTGAGTGACCTCGGGTGAGCTGTTCCCCCGTGGTCTTCTCTTACCTCCCTTTTACCTGGCAGATGCATTTGAAGGATGAACTAAAGGATCTCACATCTTGAGCATCGAGGTTTTTCCTGGAGTACAGGGAAGAGGAAAGTCTCTGAACATGGGAGAAAAATCTCTTAAATTGTTGGTGTGCTGTCAGAGTCTCCCCTCCCTCCCCTTTGCAAGGGAGAACCGTGTGCAGGTGGAACACAGAGGGGTTGGTGACCCAGCTGAGCTGGAAGTGGCTGTTTTGTTGTGTCACCTTTGGTTTTCACTCAGTGGTGCCTTTGTGGCCAGGTGTTTATTTATTTGCTCTCTTCTCCCTGACCCAGAGTGGCTCCTCACCTCGGCTGAGTGTGCTGGAAGAGGGATTGTGTGTGTGTCCCAACCTTGGCAGCGATCACAGAGGCTGCCAGGAGGAGGATGTGACCTGGGAAACAAATATTCTCCTTTTCTGAAGGGAAGCTTTCACTCTGGGAGAGCAGGGGATGTGTTTCTTGCTATCAGATGGTCTTTGGTCTTGTTAGCAGACAGTAAGTCTGTTAACAATTACACTGAGAGCACTGGGGATGTGTGTCCACCACATCCAGTGCCAATAGACTTCTTCACCTCCCAGGAGCTCTCTGGCAGACCAAATGCATCCCCTCTTCCTTGCCACGCTGCCTTGGGTTGGCTCTGGGTTGTGAACCCATCCTTTAGGGCTTTATCCACCCTGATATTCAGGATGTCAGCTCCTAACAGACCCTGTGTTCCAAAACAGGACAAAGGCACGTGTCTCCCTCTGCCCTGGCTCCCAAGTTTTTATGGACAAACAGGATCTTCTTAAACACAAAACTGGCCTCAGACTGAAGCATTTGCTACAACCATTCCTGTTCCTTTCTTGCCTCCTCTCCATTGCTTCTCCTCACTGAGAATTGAGAGGAGCTGCCTCTTCACTACAAATAATGATTTGTAAAACAGTGATATTCGAAATTAAGTGGCTGCTGCTGTCTTTGATGTTCTTGGCACTGTTGATTGCTACCCAAAGCAAGCTGGGAATTACAGTCTGTCATTCTCTTGCCTCATAGCTCAAGGCTATATTTAGTAGTTCAAGTTGCAACAGATCTGGAAGTTGTTCCCTTCAGCTGCAGCAGAGGCTGGGGCTGTGATGGAGCTCGTTGGTTTGCCAGTGGTGAGTCCAGGAGCTCGTTTTCCATCACGAGGACAAACTGAACCAGTCAGTGCAGTCTTGCAGGGAGCTCCTGCTGGAGTGTCCCCCAAGCCTTTTAATGCCTGCTTTTTGCCTAAATCCTAGAGCTTGGTGCAGAAATTCTCCCTGTGATTCCTGGGGTGCCATAAGTGTCATTTCCTTATGGGGGAGGGGGAGGGAAGAAAGACACTGTCATTTAAAACCTACAGCTGTCAAGATAAAATTATTGCAGTGTCTTTCTTCGCTGATTCAGCAGTTGGGGCTCTGCTGAGCGAGTGTTCTCTGCAGGACTCCATGAAAATCAAAAGATTATGTCTGAATTTGAGTCCATCCACTGGGGCTGGAGATCCAGGCAAGTGTTGAAATCCTCTGTCTGCACACAGGGTTTGCAGCTCCAGAATTACAGGTCTGAGAGCTTCATTGAATTGTCAAAGGTTTTGAAAGCCCTGAGTATCTGTTGCTTTCAGTGGAGTTTACTCTTAATTGTCTCCTCAGAGTCCAAGTACAAGTGACTAAAACCAATAATGGAACCATGTGATCTGATTCCTGCTGCCAAAAGGTGAAGGGAGGACTGATGCTTTAGGAGTTAAATGAATATTTGAAAATGTTTTTCTTGCCAATGATAGGAAAGGGGTGAAGAACTGCCTAATATTGCACTGCCAGGCATTAACAATGCAAATAAGCGTGGAGAAAAAAAGGTGGTGTTCACTCCCTCTTAAAATATGTGCAAATGCAGGTATTAGTGGTGGAGTTATTCATTTGTAATTTTCCAAAAGTGAGATGGAAGGAAACTGTCCATTTGCTCTGCTCTCTTCTCCTTCCTGACCAGTTTTCCCCCTTCCATGTTTCAGTTGCTTTGTGGCTGGTTTTGTGGTTTTTCTTTACACAGCAACAAGTAAGACAAAAACATAAATAAAGGAAAATGTGGTTGTGGATCCACACATTTTTATGGAGTTTGACTGGACCTGGGGTTGGCTTTTTTCTGTCAAAAGCAGATTGGCCCTGCTTTCCTGTGCAGGGATTTGAGGCCAGAAATCTCTTTCTGCTGTGAATCCACTGTGATCTCTGATACAGAGGCTGCACAGCACGGGGGGATTTTAGTCACCATCAGGCTTTTAAAGACTGTGGAGAAATGGTAGGATCCAAAGTGGGAAAATACTTGAAATTGCTGTTGTGACAACCAGTTTGGGATGGAAAGGTCCTATTCAACCCTATATTTTTATTTGCTTCCTCTGTTCTAGTAGTTCTTTAACCATAGATACCAACATCTTAACAAAAAAATTGTATTTTTCCTGCACTATTTGAGAAAACCACTTCTAATCTCCTGTAATTTCAAAATCCTGATTTTTTTCCTATTGTTTTTTTTTTTTCCAGGGTGGTAAAGGAGGAGATCTCAGATGACAATGCAAAGCTCCCTTGCTTCAATGGAAGAGTCGTGTCCTGGGTATGTTGGCTCATGTGTCTGTAATAAATCTGTGTGGTTTGATATGTACAGTAGCAGCATAGTTGGTACCTGGATCCTGGTTTTTAGAAGTGTCTTGAGTCTCCAATTACATGAAAACAAAAGCTTAGGTTTTAATTATATCTGTAACATCTTGTCGTTAAGTAATTTATTTTAAAAATGAGAGTGAAGCCCACAAAGTGTGCAGGGCTGAAAAGGGGATTTATACACGAAAACACTTTTAGTCCTGTCACTAAACAGCCCAAACAACTTACTGAAAACCAGCTGCACGTGATATTCTGGGGGGTTTTGGTCGCGTTGTTTAAATGTCATTGTACTGCTATTGTGGCAGTGCCTGGAAGGTTTAAATGAGGTTTGAACACTGTGTTTGCATTCAGGAAAAAGACACAACGATTTATAGCCTTGGAAAAATAAACAGGGCAGAGGAATTTGGGGTAATTTGCCCAGTTATGGAGGGCGTCAGCGATGCAGATGTTACTGAGCTGCTCTGCGGGTCCCACCTCTCTTCTTCTTTCCATTGCCTGTTTTTAATGTCTTGGTGTCTCTAGTATGCCACGATATTTGTTTGTCAGCTAACTGGAGTGATTAATTACCATCTCCTAAGTGTTCCACAGCTTTTGGTTGCTTCCCATCCACAAGCAGGTGCTGGGCTGGGTGTGAGCAGCAGCACAGGCTGCACTGGTGCTGCCGTGCTTGGTCCCTTCTCCAGGTGCCTCCTTCTTTAAATTTGTAATGTTCTGCTTACTGGAGATGCCATAAAAGCCTGTTGTTCCCCAGGTTTGCTCTGTGAAACACAGTAATTTCCACCTTCAGGTGATGTTTGAGGCACAGAGAAACAAACACAGGGATAAATTCGGTACTCGGCCGGTTTCACGCACACGTTTCTCCAGCTGGAGACAGGAGATTTAACCCTATCAAGGTTTATTAAGTGGTTATGCACCTTCAGGGAGAGAAGAGAGCACTAGTATTTTATATTTTAACACCAGAACAACATTTGGGACGTGGTCTGTGGTTTTAATACCCTCTTTCAAGCTGACCTTACAATCTTGGGGACAGGGACACGACAGAGGACGAGAAGAATTGCCTGTTTCCCCAAAACTCAAGTTTGTCTCGAGTGTGAAATGTATTTTTACTAAGAGCTTGGCTTCAACAAGTGATGCAAGAGGGGTTGGAAACATAGTGCCATGGGATGAGAACTCTGCTGAAGTAACTGGAAACATGAGGCAGCCTTTCAGCACTGGAGAAATCTTTGGATATATGTTTGCAGCCTTCCTATTTCTGGTGGGATCAAGATACACAAGAAAGTAGTAGCAATAAAGTAGGTTTACAAGAGTTTTTTCCAGCTGCACAGCTGGGGCTGTTGGCATTCTCAGCTGAAATGAGCTGCTCTGTCTCCAGTCCTGTACTGATTTTTAGGAGTTGAAGATCTTCCTCACACATTTACAGCACAAAGTTCTTCCTTAATGAGGTGGTTGGCTGGTGTCCATCCTGGTGTGGGAACTGAGCCCAAGGGGGGTGTTAACCCCTCCAGGCCGTGCCTGAACATCCATCCTGGTGGCCACTGGTGTGGGATGTTCCCTCAGAAGGGCTGGATTTGGCTTGGAGGGCTCAGTGCTGCTGAATCTGCTGAATCTTTCAGGACGTGCCTGAGCCCTGGGTGTTGGTGGTGCTGTTTTTGTCCTCAGTCCAAGGATTACTGAGGGCTATAGAGTGGGGCTCTGACAGTATGGGAATGGAAGGGACAAAAAGGGATTTCATGTGTGATTAACAAGAGCCTCGGGTGCAGTGGGGCTGGGGGGATGTCACTTGTGTGGCCGTGGTGTGAGAGCAGCTTCTGTTGGAAAAGCAAATTAATAGTAGCTCTTATCAGGAGAGCAAATTAATCCTGAGAACCCTTTTCCTCTTCCTGAGTGTGCAACACCTGCACTGTGTTTGCTCCTCAGTGTCATTCCCTTTCTTCCCCTTTCCCCCCGTGCTGCTGAACTGGTAAATATTAATTCAGGCAACAGGCTGATAATCTGGATTGTCTTCTGCATCCCTGACCTGGGTCTCTTCTTCCCAGTCCAGTGGTGTTTGTTTTTATCTGTGTGGTCTGGTTAAAACATTTATCTTTGCATTGTTGATTCAACACACCAGTGATTCATTCTGACTCCCAGACACCATTTGGGCTCTTCTGTGCAGCAAAATGTGACTCAGGTTGTTCCAACGAGGGCCAACATTCTTGGAGTTGAAGCAAAACCAGTCCCCCAACACCAAACTATTCCACATAAATAAGAAATCAACCTCTTTAACCTCTTCCCTCTCCCAACCAAACCCCCAAGGGTATTTTATCTCTGGTTGAGAGCTGAATTCTTTTCCCAGCTCCTTAAATAACATGAAAATATATGGCTTTTCTGTTTTCCAGCTGAAAAACAGGAGACTGTGAAGAACAGTAAGATCAGAACAAGACTCTATATATGTACACACACACAAGTTCAACGTTGTGTTTTAATTCTGGAGCTGTTACTATTTTCATTTCAGACAAACATTACAATCTGTGAAATTTTAAGAATTAATGTTAAGAATTTTAAGAATTAACTCGATTCATTGCTATTCCTGTTCCAGTGTAGGTTGCTGGCCAGCCCAGGAACTTTAACCCAGGAGGATCAATCTGAACCAGCAGCCAGGCCTGTATCAGAGAACGCTGCTATTGCAAAGATCTCAGGGCAAAATTTAGATGTGTGGCTTAAATTGATTATTTCAGAGCATTAGCACCGTGGAGCCTTTTGTGTGCGCTGCAGCAACGTGGGGTTTGCAGACTCTGCTCTCGGCAGCAAATGACATAATGCTTTATAAACCCATTTAATTCAGCTGAGGCAGACACACGGCTTGGAGGCAGCAGGGAGAGATCCAATGCTTCAAAATGTAGGTTCTTCCCTCCCATCAGCCCGTTTCCAAATTTCTCTGCTTATCCCCCCGGTTTGGCTTCGGTTTGGAGCTCTCAGAGATCACTCAGGGCGCTTTTTTTGCAGATGATGTTGACAAGGGCTTCTGTTCACTGGCTCAGCAATCAGCTGAAACATCTGTGTCTGACCTGCATTATGAATTGCAAATTACTTTTTCCACACTAACACCCATAAAATTGCCGGGCTTATCTGCCTCTATTTGCTGCTAATTACTGGAGGAGTTTTATGTAAATCTTGCTGTAAGTTAATTGTTCACAGTTTCGAATTCTTTAATATCCTATTCACTGGAACTTACCAGATAATTGCATACAAATCTTTCAGGGATAGCAAAGTTGGTCTTTACCTTTTGGGGAAAAAAAAAAAAAGTGTTTTGGGCAGGGCTGGTTAAACCTTCTCTGGTTTTTAATATGCTGGACCTGAGCTTTCTTTGTCTCCAGCGCTATAAAATGTGTGTCAGCTGGTAGCAGACAGCTTGGGATTCTTTCACAAAACCATCTGTGATAATTGTGGCCCTCACTGTAAATGACTGCAGTGTCCCCGTGTGTGGAGTTCAGACCCACACAACACACTGAAAATTGGAAAATTAAACGCACACACGATAGAGCTGAACTGGCTCTGCCCCCACAGCCCCCCTCCCGACTGAGCCAGTGGCCACTTTGAAGTTTTACAAGATGAGTGACATTTAGAAATTTGAGATTTTCATCTTTTTTAATAACATTTGAATCCTTCTATTTGTCAGAGGTGGGAACTTTGATCTTGGTGTCACATGCAGGACTTGATTTCCATAGGGGAAGATGTTCAAGGGAGGATCTGCAAGTCTTTAGCTGTTGCTTACTTTTGCTGCCCTGAGAACTCAATGTACAGCTAAATTAGGTTTGAATTAGAATCACTGCTGCTAATTAGCTATTTAAACTTCCTCCCCATCCCTCCTGTGTCCTGCTTGTTTTTCTCCTCTGCATCTTAGATCTTCTTTTGATTTCAGGGTGGGTTGGGTTGTTGTTTTGTTTTTTTTTTCTGGTGCATGTGTTTGTGGTTTTATTTATTTAGTGAGGTTTTTTGGTTGTTTTAAGCACTAAATAATTTGGGACAGAGGGGTACTGCTTACTAGATCCCTTTTCAGTGGTTGACCTTTAGGTTTTCAGCAATACAGAGACTACCACGAGTTGTGTGTCAGAATTCTTCATTGCCTTGTTTTTACTGTAAATGCAGCTTCTGCCAAAAATAGCTGATACATTCCCTGTTCTGCTACACGCACAAAACACAGAATACAATTTTTTTCCCTGGGAATCGTTTATTTTGAGTTCTTGGGGACTGCTTACATGAATGAAATTATTGCTTCAGTTTTGTTTTTCACAAGCTGGGGCGATTTGGAAAAACAAATAGCTGGCGTGGCAGAGATACAATATTTTACCTTCAGGCTTTTTTTTGCAAGAGCTTAAAATATTTTTCTGTCCTCTTTGCACGGTCCAGGGACTGGGAACGTGGAAGGAACTGGCTCGTGGGTGCTGCCAGGTCAGAGCCAGGAGGGAGGGCTGTGCCAGCAGCTGCCTTGGCTGTTATCTGTGTTTTTTAGGAAGGATTTGCAACATCTGGGAACAATCCCCTTGCCTGGCTGCTGGGAATGTGCACCGTTTCCTATTGGCTGCCAGTGATGTCATAGCCTTCTGTGAGGTTTTCCCTGATTTTTCTTCTCCATTATCTGGGTGCCAACAGATAACACTTGTCCTGTTTGTACATAAGCTTTTGAGAGGCTGTATTTGCAATTACAATTAACCCTGTTGGGTGGAACCACTTAACAGGGCAACACAGGAGCTTCAGGACTGTTCAGTCATCTTCAGCAAAGTGCACAGAGCTGAGGCACAGAAGGAAAATCCACAGGAGCAGATTCTTGGTGATCTGTTATGTCTAAAACGAGCTGATTTCAGGACCAGTCTCTTCACACATCGTATAAACCCTCATTCATCTGGAGCCTGATCTACCCAGCAGAGACAATTTCTTGTTACTCAAATAAACATCCCTTTCCTGATAGGCTTTTCC